CACCACTCATCACCAGTCTCCACTCAGACATCGAGGTGTTGACCACAACTCTTTGAGTTCAACAAGTCCCTTTCACCTGGACCAGTTCCCTGCAGAAGGTGCTTGGACAGTCTGTCCCAGGAACTTTGGGCTAGCTGAGCTGTGAGGGGAACTCTGAAAACTGGATCAGCATGATCAGCCTGATGGGAAAGCTGGGACACAGAGTCACCCCAGTGTCCCTTCATTGGTGTCACCGTGTCCTGTTGCTGATTTTGGTTTCTCTGTGTTGCAGCAACTGCCTGCATGTTGTGGAGCCGATGCCGGTGCCAGGGAATGACGTGGAGGCCTACTGCCTGCTGTGTGAATGCAAGTACGAGGAGCGCAGCACCACCACCATCAAGGTAATGGTGGCTCTGCTCCCTGTGCCTGGCTCCTTCTCCTTGCCATGCCACGCCACTGCGAGACTGGTGGCTTCTTGGAGAAGAGCCCAGAAAGGGAAAATAAAAGTATCCCAGTTAGTACATGCTGGTAGTGCCAGGGGCACTGTGACCGAGTCAGGAGGGCTCCTGGCAGGGAGGAGCAGGCTGCACGGGAGCCCAGGCTCCTTGCTGAGGGTGTGTGATGGTGCCAAGCACGTCTGACCGGGGACCCATCTTGTTGGTCTCCTTTCCCGTGCAGCACGTGTCCGGAATTGGCACAGTGCAGAGATCAGCACAGTTTATACAGTGATGGCACTTACATCTCCTTGGTCTTCCTGCAAGTGCAAGAGACTTTTTAGTGAGGGAAATCAAGAATGAGGGAAGAGATCAAACATCAGAGGAGCTGTGAAGGGAGCTTCCTGCTCTCTGTGGTGGTGCTTATCTATGCTCCTGATCCTGTCCCACTTGTGCTCTCCTTCACTGCAGGTGATCATCATCATTTACTTGTCCGTGGTGGGGGCACTGCTGCTTTACATGGCTTTCCTTGTGCTGGTGGACCCTCTGATCCGGAAGCCAGATGCTTATACCCAGCCCTTGCACAACGAGGAGGAAAATGAGGTGAGGCCGTGCTGCTGGTGCACACAGGGCACACGTGGGTGACTGCGGTCACGGTGGAGACAGGGTGGTAGGGTGACAAGAGAATGGCTGACAGGGAAACAGAGTGACCTCCTGCTTGTCCTCTTTGGTCCAGTGTACAACATCCTTCCCCTTGGGAGAGAGGCAGCGCTTTAGGGGGAGTCATGGAGCCTGATTCCAAGGGGGATTTCAGAACAAGAGCACCCTGATTTGTAGACCTTTTCTTCTTCCCATGAGGCTTCCCTTTTCTTGTAAGGAAATTCAGGAAGCTGAGATGGGGATGGTCTCTCAGAGGCAGTGTTGGAGGCAGAGCTGATGGCTGCACACAGAAGTGCTGGAGGACTGGACTGGCTGCACGCACAGTGATTAGCTCTCATGCTTGATGGCATCTCTGGCTCGTGCTGTGTTTGCAGGATGCAAGGGCTGCCCTTGGTGCAGCGTGTGGCTCTGTGACACAGCTTTCCCCGTGGCTTTCTCAGTTCAGATGTGCACAGT